TCTTCTTCAGCCATTGTGGAAGACAGTGTGGCTATTCTTCAATGACCTAAAGACAAGAATTCTGTTTGACTCAGTAATGCCATTAGGGGTATATACCCAAAGGAATATAAATCATTCTGTTATAAAGACACATGCATGCACATGTTTATTTCAGCACTATTCACAATAGCAAAGACATGGAATCAACTTAAATTCCCATCAATGATAGGCTGAAAAAGAAACTGTGGTACACATATACTATGGAATACTATGCAGTCGTAAATAATGAGATCATGTCCTTTCAGGAACATGGATGGAACTGGAGACCATTATCCTTAGCAAACTAATGCAGGAACACAAAGCCAAATGCCACATGTTCTCACTTATCAGTGGGAACTATTACTTTTAATGGCAAAAATTGTAATTGCTTTTGCACCAGCCTAATAAATGATGAGAACTCATGGACATATAGAGGGAAACAACAAACTCCTGGAAGGTATCAGGAGGGAAAGGATCAGAAAAATAACTAATGGGCACTAGGCTTAATACTTCAGTGATGAAACAATCTGTACAACAAACCCCCATGATACCTATGTAACAAATCTACACTTGTACACTTCAACTTAAAATAAAAGTTTTTTAAAAAGAAAGATTCCAGAAATTAAAAACTCATAAGTTTCTAAAACAAAAGAGAAAACAATATATGTATATTGTATAGATATGCAAACACTAAATATTGTACACAATAAAAAGAAAATTCCAATATACCCTTCTCTCTTGCCAATCTCAGTGTATATTCTAGAGCTAGCTAGTTTTGGTTTTTTTCTCTCTCTCTTATTTATTATTTCTGTCACACACACAGAGACCCACAAATATATGTGTATGTATGTATAGACGTGCATAGGCACACAGACACAAAAACATATCTACCTTGGAAATTAAAAATCAATATTATAATTTTTAAAATATAAAAATTAGTTTAAAAGAAAACAGAGTAAGTACAAATATACAAAAGATATAAAAATACATTTACTACAATTTTTCAGCCAATAATATACCTCATCTATACCTAATTTGCCAAGTTCTTTGTTCTGCTTGTCTTTTATTTTTTAATTAAGAAGAGATATTGCATTTGGTAAAATAATTTTTATGTTCATGAGGTGAGTTACATTGATAAATTTATGTGATGGTGAGTGACATTATATTCAAGGCGTTTGTACTACTTTTTCCTGATACATATATTCTAGTACTCTGCTTCATTTTGTCTGAAAATATTTTGCATTCAAATTTATAACTGAAAAAATGTTTGCAAATTTCTTGTATTCTTCCCAATTTTGGCATAAAAACAAGTTGGATACCTTTCCCACTTTGTGTGAAATATTTTTTGTAAAATAGGAACTAAGTGCCCCTTTGATTGGTAAACACACCAATAAAAAATATCCTTTATGAAATTTTTACTACAAATTCAATTTCTTTAATGGTTATATTTTATTAAGTTTGCCACAAATTCATGAGTTAAAATTGTCAATGAATACATTCCTCTAAAAGTATCAGTTACATTTAAGTCTTTGAATGTATTGGCAGGGAATTCGTCCTGGTTATTGTTTTACACATATTTCTGTTTCTACTATACTATAATTTTGGTTTTTTATTCCTAATTTTATTTATCTATGTTTACTTTTAGAAAAATTCCCTGCTATCATTATTACTAGACATTTGTGTAATATTTTATTTTTTTTGAAAGAACAAGAAACAAAATTAACTTATGTTTTAGGATCAATTTTTATCAATATTTCATTTTATCAATATTAATTGCTTTTTAAAATTTTCTTTCAATTTCTTTTACTTTTCATTAATTTTTTAAGTTAATTGCTGTTAATTTTCAAAATTTATTTTTTGATAGTGTTTATTGCTGTGCATTTCTCTATAATTTCTATCAGTTTGATTTCTCCTAAATATGAATTAAATTGGTATTACTGTTGTTGAACTTAATAAATTTTGATATATATTTTTCTGAAATTGCTTATTTTCAGTTCTTCTGGCCTCTTTTTACTTACAGAACTGTCTCTTTAAGTGAAGGGTAAATAGTAACAACTTTATTAGTAATAAAGTTTAGTCAAAAGAAGAAGGCAGAAGACAAGTAAAAATTGAGTGACAAATGAATAGGTGAGTAATGGTGCTATCTTAGTGAGGTAAACTGATATATTTTTTAGATACTTTAAAAAGTTAGTGAATATGAAGTCACATTTAGAGTTCAACTTTAACTTTTAAAATATGAATACTTCAACAACAAAAAGAATACAGTCTTAGATGCTCCTGAAGTACCAATGATGTGCCAACCATTTTCAATTATTCTTGAAATTTTCCATAAGGAATATGGAATTATAAATTATCAGGCCACCACCTTACCATTCTCCTAATTTCTATCCAAATTTTTAAATCAGAAAGCAGACCACTGAAAACAAATTCAATAAGAAAACAAATCTACTAAGGCAAGTATCATAATTTCACAAGAACACAATAGGTAGAAAATGCAAAATTCAACTGAAAGAAAAAATTGCTTTAAATAAGAATCTCATTAATTGCCCATTCATTTATAGACACTGTAAATGTAGGAATAATGTGGTTCTCAATAGCATCCACCAAACAAAAGAATTTAAGCCTATATTATAAAGAATAATGGCCAGATATTCCACATTCAGAAAGAAAATAGACTAGTTTCATGTGAAGCAGAAAACATTTATTATGCTGTATAATAACAATCTTCACTTAGGACATTTTAAAGTGTTAGAATAAGTTACAAGATAATTCATAATGGAAAATTGGAAGAAAATACAAATTATAGTTTAATATGAGACATTGCTGTTTGCAAATATCTATTCAGGATAGAATTCAAAGTGCAATGTTTATAGAAACATTCTTTATAATCTATTATAAGAATTCTAAATACTCAATGTAATTCCTTTTGTAAGTATGAATAAGACATAAATACTATATGACTTAAAGCTCATGGAATCCTTTCTCTTTATGTTATTAAAAGTCAAGAATCGGCCTGGCGTGGTGGCACAAGCCACCACTTTGGGAGGCCGAGGCGGGTGGATCACGAGGTCGAGAGATCGAGACCATCCCGGTCAACATAGTGAAACCCAGTATCTACTAAAAATACAAAAAATTAGCTGGGCATGGTGGTGCGTGCCTGTAATCCCAGCTACTCAGGAGGCTGAGGCAGGAGAATTGCCTGAACCCAGGAGGCGGAGGTTGCGGTGAACCGAGATCTCGCCATTGCACTCCAGCCTGGGTAACAAGAGCGAAACTCTGTCTCAAAAAAAAAAAAAAAAAAAGTCAAGAATCTCCCTGTGGAACAGTTTTTAGATGGCAGAAATAGTTTTCCTACCATTGTATTCCTATTATGTATTCCTACCATTGTATTCCTATTATGTGTGTGTGTGTTTCACAGTATTTTTATAAAGATATACACTGTGATGACCACACAGAGAACCAGCCTAGTTGATTGACAAGCATTATGGGCATCTGTGGCTAAGCTAGTAGGCATAATAAATATAGACTTCGCCGGGCGCGGTGGCTCAAGCCTGTAATCCCAGCACTTTGGGAGGCCGAGGCGGGTGGATCACTAGGTCGAGAGATCGAGACCATCCTGGTCAACATAGTGAAACCCCGTCTCTACTAAAAATACAAAAAACTAGCTGGGCGTGGTGGCGCGTGCCTGTAATCCCAGCTACTTAGGAGGCTGAGGCAGGAGAATTGCCTGAGCCCAGGAGGCGGAGGTTGCGGTGAGCCGAGATCGCGCCATTGCACTCCAGCCTGGGTAACAAGAGCGAAACTCCGTCTCAAAAAAAAAAAATAAATAAATAAATATAGACTTCAATAAACTTATTTATTCTTCATTAAATGAAATAACTCAAAAGTGATTGTAATTCACATGCTGCTCGGATGTCTTTCTAATTTGTGTTTTTGCCCTAGGACTGGGATTTATAGTAACACTGTGATTGAATCTGTTTCCATTACGTGTGGGGTATCCTAGTTAGCCAAGTGGAGTCAGTCATTCAGACGTTGTCATTGACTCAATCCTACAATCAACAAAAAACTATCACCCACTGTTCCAAGCACCATGCTAGATGTCTTATTAGTCTTAACATTCTATTTCTGTCTCAAAAATGCATGTGCTCTCCAGTTGTGCTGCAGTCTCCTGTACCTTGTCTTAATTTGTTGTCAGTTGCTTTGCTAGATAATTGAGGAGTTGCATAAAGTATTTGGATGTCAGATCTAGAAGATCATGGAAGCCATAGTTTTGTTAAAATGTAAATATGATTAGATATTTAGCAAATGTGTTTAGAACTTCTAATGAGTTACCTTAATGTTTTGATATGAAATAAAATGAGGTTGGATCTTTGACTCAAGAAGATTCTATTTGCCTGATCTAAATCAAGTACTTTCTTTGATTTTCATGTAGTAATTCCATCAAAACTAACCTCAGATGTCTTGTAATTACTTTTCTGTAATCATTCTGTATGTGGTCTTAATTTTTTATATCAATAATACTATATTTGATGGTAAGCTAGTGTGATAATTTTCCTAAATACACATCAGATAATACAGAGACTGTTAGGAAAAGAATTATTTCTTTGAAGTATGAGATAATCTTGTTGGCTTATTCATAGATTGCCAGTCAAAAAATCATTAATCATGGCCAAGTCTTGTTAATATTAAGTAGTAACAGAAAGAAAAATATACACAATACTTGAAATACTTTCTACATTAAAAAATAAAATATAAATTGTTGTTGATATTGGTCTCCTCATTCAGCTCCCAGCTTATTGCCTAATCATTAGCTCTTCAAATAATTTGAGATTGCATTGTATAATCACATACAGAAAGGCCATTGCAAAGTCTTTATTTCTTTACAATATTTACTTGAATTCTGCCCTATGAAAGAGTTATCATTAACTTGGATTTTAAAAAAATGGAAAACATTTTGGAAAGGGTAAGCACAGGATAGGTACTTCCTGGGCTAAAGAGGATCATTTAGATATGCTCATGTAATGGAATGCAAACTGAGCAGCATTTACAGCTTGCAGCACTTTTCCTTTTAAACATGTCATCACCAGCTTGAAATTTTACATAAAAACAAGATTATTCCAGACAAGATCAATTGTTTCTGCATTAAGAAAATAGAAACATTTTAAAAGGAGAATAGAGCAACATAAAAATACTATAATAAAAATTAAAAAATAGAAGGAAAAGTAAGACTTGAAATCAGCTTGACTTACAAAGCAATAACAATGCATACTTAAAAAGCTAGAATGACAGTAATTATTTTGAGGGAAAGAATAAGCTCTATTTCTGGAGGTAAAAATCATTATGGATTCACATATTAGTTTAGTTTGACCTCTAAGAATCTGTTTTTATATAGCTGACTTTGTAAATTTACTCAGGTTCATGTATTCTTCATTTACCTTATGTTCACAATTATACTTAAAGTTTAAGTATAATTAGAGCTCCAGGGTCAATTCAGGGTCAGATGAAAACCGAGCTAACAAAAATGATTACTTCAGCAGGGTTTGGTTTGTATACTGTTTATTCTTTTCTAAATCAAGAGGTACTGTGGCAGAGTTCTAGTCAGCAAAATTTGGACTCTGCAATGGTAAAACTTTCTCTTACATCTTACCACACATTCCAAAGTTTGATTTAAATGGGGCTGAGCTAATTTTCTGAGAAGGCAATTTCTACATGTAAAAAAAACCATATGAATTCAAACATCAGTCTTTGGTTACATTTACCTTATCATGAGAAAAATCTCTTTAGAGTCTATGTTTCCACTATTATGATTAATTCATAAATAAATTAATCATAATTCATGAGCTGACATAAACAAAGAAAATAAAATGAAAGTAGAAGAGCAAAAATAATTCCTTTCAACAATCTTAAAATTTTATTTGAACTCGGATCCTTATATAAGTCCAAGGATATGATTATTCATCACGGTAAATGTAACAATCACCATTTCACTTCTATAATTCTTGTTCTACACTATCCAATAGCCATTAAACATGGCTATGTGACAATATCAAAATATTTTGTATTGATTATTTAGTTCAATCATTTTGTTTGGTAAAGGAAGAACTTGAAAACCAGAAGAATTGACTTTCCTAGTGTCACACATGTAATCCTAATGTTAAAATGTGGTAAGAACCAGTGCCTCTTGATTTCTACATGAAAATTCATTTCCCTATTGTCTCTCAACAGTGTTTTGAGTTCTTAGTTTGCTTGTAGATTTGACATATGAATTCCTCCAATGAAGTGAATTCTTGGTCTGGGAGCTCATTAAGTCTATGCCAGATAGCCAGATAGTTGGTCACAAAAAGTCCTCTGTAAGGCTAACATTGCTCCAAATTATGATGCTTGGTTGAAGGCCCATTAGGTTTTGTGCCTATGATTTCAGTTCCCAGTTACAATGTTATTTGATAATTGATAAACTCCAAAAATGTATCTGTGTGTAATTTACCAAAATTTTATATTTTCTCATATAATTCATTTACAAACACATTCCTAGAATTTTTAAAACATAATAGTAAGTGTATAGGATGTTCCTCTTTGCCAGAAAATTTAAAAATATGTATTAGCCATATATCCAAAAGCTGCTCCCATGACATCAGTCCCTTTGCTTTTCAAATTAGAAGCACAACAGCTCCAATAACGTAGTGAAGAAGTACAACCCCAGCAAGTCAGAGGCTGTAATTTTACTCCTGGTTCCATGATATCCCAGAAATACTTCCCATGTCTTTCTGGAATTTTTCCTGTATTTTCATACAATCATGATTTGATTTGTTGCTAAAATAAGGGAGCAAAAGGAGAAACAATACTGCTCTCTTACACCTTCGGATATGTATTGCCATACTGTATACCCCAGACTAGAGAGAAATATGAAAACAGAAAGCTGAAGAGACATTATTTAAAGATTCTAACTTACAATAACTGTGTGTATATATATATCTCCTTTTATATGTTCATGCATATATATATGTTCATGTTCATGCACAAGTTCTTATCACATTTTAACATTAGGATTACAAGTGACACTAGGAAAGTCAATTCTTCTGGTTTTCAAGTTCTTCCTTTACCAAACAAAACGGACGGACTAAATAATCAGTGCAAAAATATTTTGATATTGTCACATAGCCATGTCTAAAGGCTATTGGATAGTGTAGAACAAGAATTATAGAAGTGAGATGGTGACTGTTATATTTACCATGATGAATAATCATATCCTTGGACTTACATAAGGATCCGAGTTCAAATAAAATTTTAAGATTGTTGAAAGAAACTATTTTTGCTCTTCTACTTTTATATGTTCATGCATATATGTAAATGCATGTATATATATGTATATATACACACACACATAAATACATATATGTGTATATATATATCTCCCTTCATATGTTCATGCATGTATATATATACATATATATACACACACATATATATATAACTGTGTGTATATATATCTCCTTTTATATGTTCATGCATGAACATATAAATATATACATGCATGAACATATATATATATACATGCATGAACATATAAAAGGAGATATTGCAGACAAGAAGTACAATGAAGCCTGAAAATTTCCTGGGCTTGGAGTTAAAAAGGTAAATATCAATTAAATCAATAGATTTTGGCATTATTTTATTTGGAAAATATCACTTTCTCTGTCTTCAAAACAGGTACGGTCTGTACTGAAACAGTGTTAACTCTGTTTAGATAAATACCAGTATTTTTGGCCCCTGGATATAAAAAAATTATTTTACTATCCACCAAAATTCTGGAGTTCACAGCTCATGGTTTCCCAGGACATGTATTTCTTATATTAGACATTTTCAACATTCTCACTCCAAAATAATCATCATTTGAAATTTTCTGAAAGTAGAAAGGATATTATACTACTATATTCCAAATTAGTATCTATGATTCTTATAGGTGCTATCTATATTCACAGATTGACTACTTGACCCAAAATAGAAAATATATTTGAACAGTGATGCCTAGAGGCAAGTCTTTTTGGCATAATAATTTTTAAGAATAATATAGTATCTATTGAAAAGTAGTAATGCAAGACTTTATTATATATACTGTCTGGAAAGGGTAAGGGGATACGCAGAGGTTGGTTAATATATACAAAATTACAGCTAGATTGGAGGAATATGTTCTAGCATTCAATACCACTGTAGAGTGACCATGGTTAACAATAATTTAGTGTGTATTTTCTTGAACTTGAACTCCCAACCTCAGGTGATCCGCGAGCCTTGGCCTCCAAAGTGCTTGGATTACAGGCATGAGCCACCACGCCTGGCCAGTGTGTATTTTCAAATAACTAGAAAAGGATTTTTGAATTTTTTCAACACAAAGAAATAACAGATTTGTAAGTTACCATTACCTTACCTTATACTAATTACCCTGATTTGATCATTACACATTGTATACATATATTGAAATATCACACTGTGACCCATTAATATGTATAATGTGGCAATTAAACATCTTTAGGAAGTTCAAGACTTTACGAATCAAATGAGATGGAGCAGTTTCACATATGAGCAAGGAAGCACACAGTGAAGAACAAATCTATAATTTAAGAAAAGCAAAGTGGTTTGAGGCAAGTCTATAAAGCATTGTACGGTAATGTGCTGACTCTCTAGGTTGGATATTTGTTCTTTTTTTTCAATGCCACCTTTCTCATCTACCTTTTTTTTTTTCTTTTCATCCTTTCCCATTCACTAGAACAAGTTGCCTTCATGCACTGATTATAAAAGTTCTTTATCTCTCTGACTTCACAGGTCCATACACTGTCTGCTATGTGATCATAAATCTTCCCTCAATGAATGAAAGCATTGGATGAAACTGAATCTGGTGGGTAGAAATGGGTAAGAATAATGAGATAGTTCAACAAATGGCCTGGATACAAGATGAATTCAAATGAAGATAAAGAACTTTAAAAAAAAAAAAAAAGAACTTTTCCAAAATTCCAGTTCTCCAATAAAAAATTTTCTGAATACCAACAATAATACACTATAATAAAAAAATCTTGTCCATAATTCTACATCAACAATAAATAGAAGAACATTGTGTAAGGCTTGAATGAAGAAAATAAAATAAAATTCTGTTAATATAAAAATCTTGAGTCAGTGAAGAAGCAAATAGTGTTTTTGAATAATATGGCTCAAAGATGTAAAAATTTCTGTTATTCTAATATTTATGTAATTCATTTAACTACAATAATAATCTCAAAATGTTCCTTTTAAAAATTTAAAAACACAGGTACTTCTAAAATTTTTGTTGAATAAGAAAGAGGTAAAAATAACTAAATAGTTTTGAATAGAAGAGTAAAAATTAAAATTTTCTCTAGGTATTAAAATATATTCAACCACCGCCATAGTTAAAGGAGAGTGGAACTGATATAAGAATTGACAGGCAGGTTAAAACAAACAAAAAGAGTAAAGAGAAACACTGTTATCTTTATCTCAATGTTAAAATGAGATATAGTACTAAGAATTTAGGAATATGAATGTTGCTCTCAGAGACTGAATTGTGATATCCACATATTAATGCATTATGCATTAAAAACCACCATACAGAAATCATACAATTGTGTACATTTTAAAGCAGCAATAGCCTAATTTTTAAAAAATCATTTTTTAAACTAGCTCAGCAAGTCATACTGTCCCCACCAATCTTGATTTGTTATTCTGAACTGTGTGGCAGTCTGTCTTATAGAAACAGTATGCATTGCCCCTAGACACTGAGTGTGTGGTCATCATGGCAGTATTGATTCTCATTGTAAATGAATCCATTGGCTTAGATACATCAATGCTAAGAGAAAACTCTATTTTTTTAACTTTTAAGTTCAAAGTATGAGTGCAGGTTCGTTACATAGGTAAACATGTGTCATTGGGGTTTACCGTATAGATTATTTCATCACCCAGGTATTAAGCCTAGTATCCATTAATTATTTTTTCTGATCCTCTTCCACTTCTCAGTTTCCAGCTACCACTTTCCAATAGGCCCCAGTGTATGTTGTTCCTCTCTATGTGATTATGTGTTCCCATCATTTAGCTCCCACTATGACTGAGAACATGTGGTTTTTGGCTTTATGT